TTTGAAAATAACCTCATCAGTAACTACCTACGTAAATTGTTATAAAAGGCATAAAAACTATTTTTACATTTTTAAATAATTTACTTTTCAAAAACGCTGATGCTTCTTTCTCTTAAAAATTGTTCTTTTAATATTTCATATTAAGTTTTTTTACTCTGAAACCGTTTTTAATACTATTTCGGACGTTTTAGTAATCACAGAAAACACATTTGTTTTGCTTATAGATATGTTTTTACTACTGAAAAAAAATTGGTTAACGAGATTTACTTTACATTGATAGTAACCATGTATAAAAATACTAATTTAAACATTTAATAGAAATTTAAAGTATCAATGGTTATGTCTTAGAATCGGAACAAAATAAGAAAAATGATTTTGTTGAAAACTGATTTAGTATAAAAATTTAGGTTCTATACACTACTTTTTTTTAGTGTTTCTCAATTATCAAGTAGGTACTTTGAATATACTTTTGACCCGTAGTACTTACTACATTCATTTTCTTACCAAAAATATATTAAATTTACAATTGAAGCATTTTCTTCATTAAAAAAGTTGGCTTTGGAGTAATTAAAAATTCATACAATTTTAGAATAATATTCCCACCGAAGATATGAAAATTTAATACAAAGTTCCTCACAAGTCGTTATAGATGAAATTAAAAAAAAGTTGAACTTTATTCCAAAAATATTTGTTAAGAATCTCTACAGTTTAAACTTTAATGAAATTAGGTATTCACAAGATCTCAAGTTTTGTAGGAAAGTCAAAAAAAAAAAAAGTTTAAAAACTATTAGACAAACTCAAACAATAACTTTTGACAACGAATTTCAATTACAATTATTAATACTGTTTTTTTTTTAATTTAGATACTATTAGACATTAGTCAATACATACACATGAAATAATGTTTTTTAGAAGATGATAGAAAAAATAATTTTTCCAGAAGAGGGGTAAGTGCTTCATCTTACCCATTTACTTAATAAGCATCTATGGTGTAATATAAAATATAATATCCATAAGATATACACAGACAAAAGATAAAATTGGTTTTTTTCTGTTAATCTTTTTCCCTGATATAAAACGAATGTACATAAACATAATATACTGAATACTGATATACCACTACATGGATTGAATATACTATCAAATCTATTATCAAGGGTTGATGATTTTTCTTTCTATTAGCCCCCCTCTTTATATCCAATTGTAGTGTGTATGTAAAATACCACCTAAAGCTAAAAATCGTAAATCAGGCCTGTAGATTTGTATTTACGTATTAATTAAACTCAACTATTTTATAGTTGTTCACACTTTTTATCCCCATCCCACGATTGAATAACCAGAATAACAATATATTATTGATAAAAAAACAGTGAATATAAAATAAATTAATTATGGGTAGGCATATGCATCGAATGCAAGAAGATGGCACCAAATGCAGTAGGTATTTATATTATGTTGAATTGCAATAGCAGGTAATAGTATTTATCCATTATCTGTATACTTAGTACAACGCGTTCTCTGCGATTTATGTATCGTAGACATTGAGTATTTGCAGTTTAAAGTTTAATCACACGACGATAATCATATTGCTGCCCACGTCTTTTTTACGGTACTGCCTGTCGAGTTCACCAAAACAATATTAATTATGCACACAAATACATAATAATATATTAGGTATACATTAGAATCATTAGATAATAAATAATAGTTAAGTCACAATTGTTTGCCATTGTACTAATTACTATTTACAAAAATAGTTCATACGAGTCGTTGCACTATTTTGTCGGTTGTTATTTTTTGGTAGCGGTTTCAATAATCATTTTATCGTTTTATCGCACATTATATATATTTGCATACTACCTAGTATTAATATACACTATACTCTAGTATATAAATCTCTGTATTGTCAAAAATTCAATAAGTTTGTTAATTAAACATTAATAAAATAATATATTTTATTATGTTCTCTTAAGTAATTGGTGAGTACTGAGTAGATACAAGAGTACAACAATTATAAAAAAAGGACAAATGATCCATCCTTATACTTCCCGTCTATATCCATATATTGGAGTGATCCATTTAACGTAAAACTAGACTTATTTAGAAAATTCTAATGTTTTTGCATATTCATTTTGTGTAATTTTAAATAATTATTAAACAACATTTTTTAAGTTTTTTTATACTTTTGATTTTTGAATGACAACTCATACATTTTTAATTACATGTACCGAAACTGAATATTATTTAGAGTATTTCGATCAATAATAATTAAATAAAACTTTAGATACTGATAACTTATAAAATATCATTTATCAATAAAAAATGAAAGCTTTAAAAAATAATAATGATAATTGATAAGAAATATATTTTTTTTTAGAAAAATGTTGTTGTTTGACAATTGAAAATATTGTAAAAATTTAATTTTATAAACGTTAATAGTTATTAAATAAGAATGCCTATTACGTTAAATGAATCATCAGGTTAGTGTTCAATAATATTTTAAAATTTAGTGTACAATAATTAATAACTAACAAGTGCAGAATAATAAGTAAAAACGTAGTCGATATATTCGAACTATAATCTCATCAATTTCTTGTTTTATTATTGAACCTAGATTTTGATAATTTGATGAATATCAAATCTAATTAATTGATAAAATTAAAAAGGGTTATTATAGGCGAATACAAAAAAAATTAAAATATATTATTTTTTATCTACGTGCCACTTTGTGTAGGTTAACTTGTATAATTACAATAGGTAACGGTATTATTATAATAATATAATATATTTAATGCTTTCTAAGAAATAAAAAATATTTTCTTAATCTTATATTCATTGTTAAAACATATAACTAATAAGTAATAATTAATAATTGTAGTCTGTAATTGGTTATTCGATTAGTTATTGTCAAATTTAATAATTTATTTAATGATACATCATTCACTCATATTGTTCCTATACTTTGCACATGTATATCTTAAGGTAACAATTATACAAGGTATATAATTTTAAATAAAATATGTAAAGAATAAAGTTAAGCTCGAAAACTGTAAATTAAATTTGAATTAAACTTACCTACAGGCTACAGCCAAATTATGGGTATTGGCCATTGGGTATGACTATTTAATTTCGGACGAATTTCCGTAAACTTAAATTTCTATAGTATAATTATTGTTATGTCTATACATCTACTTGTTCTCATTAAAATTATTTTGATTATTTGTGAATCACTAAAATTATACACAAAAAATATAAATTTTAAATTGTCAAATAATTTATATATTATTAGCAAGACATAATGAAATTTTTACTTTTGTGAGAACAAATTTTAGAATTCCCAAATAAAATATTCAAAAATTTTATTTTAAGCAATTATTTAACTTAATACACTAGTCACAGTTCTATTTTATTAAGTCATGAACTCTATTTAATTCTTTAATTTAAAAAAGGGAAAACTATTTATATGCGCATTATATAATACTATATAAGTTATAATTTATGAATATTTTTGTAACACAAAATAGTTTTTACTACCTACTTGAATACTTCAATATATTGCTTAAAATAGTAATAATACCTAATAACTATCAGGAAAAATAAAAAAATGATAATTTTAAATGTACACAAAAGAAAAAAAATTGTAATTAATTTTAGCATTATATTTCATATCAAATTTCAATTTCAATTTTAAGATTTTATTGTCAATAACAACAGAAAATTATGTTAAAATCATTACACTATTATGATAGCCATTGTTATGGATCAAATACTCAATTTTTGATGTTTTAATTTTTTTAACATCTATAGCATATGATGTACAATATTTGTGACTTATTATTACTATTTATATATTTATATTTTTAATATTTTAATTTGATAATTAATTTAAAGGTGACAATAATAAAAGTGATTTTTAAGAAAAACATATTTAAAATTTTTTTTTTTAATTCCCAATAGGATTGGTATTACTAGTA